CCGAAAATAGGCAAAACAAGCCTAGTAACTAGATTGACTACGAGGATAAACTAATGCGATCAAGACAACATTTCAGTCAGTCCTTGTATAAGTTGTCCAATCTTCTACAATGATGGTATCAGTTTGTCCGTCAAACGCCGGGTCCTTGTACTCTATATAACTTTATATTACTTCATATTCGCGCAGCAGGAGACTTCGCAAATATTTGATGGTCGTGTCCACAAGCCCATCTATGAGTGTTTTGAGTCATGGTTGCTCCATGATCCTCCTTCGGAATTATTGCCGTCGTCGTTCATCGATGTTTTCTGCATTGGAAACACTTGCACTTGCATAATAGTCATTATAAATAAGGAAAGATACTTTGCACCGACCTCAAACAGTTGCCGCTGCACAAAACAAGGTCATCACGTTGAAATTGTTGTGACAGAATTTGACTGCTGAATAATACAATTCCGAAAAGGGTGCGAGCACTTCTCGCGGGTATGTTCTCGTTCCACAACACCTCCGACCACAAATATACAGCGACTCTCGAGGAGAATGTTCCCAGTCTTCCGGTGGGGCATCCACACCTCTAACAATGAGTACTGCACTGTCAAAGATCACTTCAGATGTGAAGAAAACTGAACTCATATCATGCCATATATTTCTTCCCCACATCATGTTACTTGACGGCCATCCGATCGTCACAAATGGTTGAACCATTCTGCAACACATGAAAATACAGTTTAAATGTATTTAAATAAAAGCTCAACGACAACTAAATAACGTACCAATACGTGTAAAGAAATACAATTAGCTCTTCTTCAAAACCTATTGAAAACCTACTGATCTTCATTATCGGGAAGTGAAAGGCATACCAAGGCCTTCTCTCTGACCGATTTTGGAATGTGCACCCCATTTTCTAAATGCAATGTCTTTGATGTCCAGCTCCACACAACACAGTCTACATGCTGCCACTGCTGTGATGTTGTGTTGTTTTTCTTCCACGTCTTCTTCCATGCGTTCGAATATTGCACAGAAAGACGTTTAGCAATAGGTTGTGGCACCCAATATTCAATAAGAGTATGATTGAAAGTTGACGACTTCATATCGTTGTCTACATCGAAAATGACTCTACCCATCCATACAAGAACTCCCTCATCGATATCATATTGGGAAGAACGCAAGAAAACGAATTGACATTTTTCGACATCCACAACTGGGTTGAGCTCCGCCTTTGGACGCTCATTGGACGGTCCAACGAACAATGGCTCCTTATTCTCATTGCTCTTCAAGAGGAAGGCAATATCAATATCATCTGGATTATCCTTCTTAATTTTGTCTTGTGAGGACCAGAAACCAGCCTTGAGTGAAGTTTTCGCAAACCCAGACCCGTAATGCTCCCCGACTGTCTCGAGGAAAGTTTTATAGTGTGAAAGAGCACTCTCCTTTGAGAAGCTAACCTCATCTTTCATTCCCAACCACCCGTGCCGCTTGTTCTCCAACCACCCAACAAACGTCTTCACACCTTCAATTCCCGATTCGAAATCCGAATTCCTATCTTTAGTAGGCAGAGAAGCTGACGGCGGAACAGGTGATGGCACGAATGGTCATTTGGGTCCAACATATGCTTTGTTTCTATCTCGTTTAAAGCAATAGACTGGAGCAGACCATTCAGGAGAAGTGCAATACTCTTTCCATTGGAACACAGGATTGTCATCCTGCATATAAAACCTAAATGCATGTGGACGAGTATGACCGATCAGTCTCTTGACCAGGAAGGGCTTAACAGCAGCTTGCCAATCAGCAATTTCATCCATGAATGTGCACGATGGACGTTATTTTTTAGAATTGGCAACGAGCTTGAAGAGGTCGAGCATGGTATATGCATCGTGCATTTTCAGTTTGCGAGAGAAATGACTGAAAGTGGCATCAAGGTCCGTATGTGTGTGTCCCACTAACATAAAACCGAATTTGACTTCTTTGAAGTAGCTAAATTTCACCAAAGCTGCAGCGAGTGCCAAAACGTATCTGTTTTTATTTTCTCTCCAACAGTTGTCAGCTTGTATCCTCAGTTTAGGAGGCAAGTCACTTGTCGCCTGGATGTCGCGGAGAACTTTCATAATGGATGACACTACAGCATTAGAATCATGTGGATAGCAAGGGTACCATGTGTGAACATGGACCGATGGTGAGCAGCCGTGTGCAATAATAGCTGTTAGATTCGTTTCAACATCGGAATATTTGCGAATGCCTTCGATTTGTTTTCTCCGCCAAAGTGTGGAATGTTGGTCTTGCTTTGGTCCATGCCGTCAATGACGATGCATAAACTGTTGGAACCCGGTCTCTTCGACTCATCCTTCCACACCTCATACGCAGCACGATGTTGGAGCTGCAAGTCCAAGTGTTTCTCGCGTAACGAAACAAAATACTCACGCACACGCACAAACTTTGCGGAATTGATAGATTCTTTGTATTCAACACATTTCTCGCATTTCGCAAAGTTTTGATCAATATCATGGAATTTCACATGCCAGAACTGCATTCTCCACATGTTGTAAAAAACTTGGAGAGAAACACAAGGAGCACCCATGTTGTCGAATTGCGAGTTTAGCAACTTATAAATATAGCAAGCAGGCAATCTCAACACCACTCTTGATTCCCCCTCTTTGATCTTCATGTCATTGGGCATAGAATCTCCGTTGTCTCGCACGAAGGAGCTTAGTTTTCCATACATCGTCGCATATGTTGCTGATGTGCGTCTGAGTCCAGTACTGCCATGCTCCGGCATATTGTACCCTTTTGACAAAGTCATGTATTCCTACATACACCCAGTGTGAAACACCAAGCACTAATGCACACCTTTCGTCTCCCCACAATAGGTTGAACAATCTCCTTTTCATCTTCTATGAAGGTGAACCTCTTCAACGTTTCAACCCACCACGCATCCCTGCTCTGCTGGTTCTTAGAGTAGTATGCGCTCCGGACAACTTTGATGTCGTCCAGGGTCATTTGAGCGCAACACTCTCGCTTACAGCAAACCTGCCCACGCACACTCCCCAATGCTTTTTTGGTGAGTTTTCTATGAATTGATTGCAGAATCTTCTTTGACCGCGGCATTCTGAGACGAAAAGTATAAGGACGTTTCTCTGAGGACAGACGTTTTGGAAAAATGTCATCGAAATCAGAGATCACGTCACAATTTTTATCGTCATTTCGACAACAGTGGTCACTGTTCCGGTCAGTGTACGTTTGCGGAAGATCGGTTTTATCTGGAGAACTATCAGCACTAGACGACACCAAAGCACTTGAATCTAAACCACCTTCATCACTCTCACCAAACAGAAGACCTGTGTACTCGAAATCTCGAAGTGAACTCCTCGGCACACATACAACGCGATCTACATCGGATGCGTCGTTGTCAGTAGAGGAGGCCTTACCCTCCTGACCTTCAACACTCTCTGCATCACAGGTTCGAACCGGGCATCGAAGGACGGGATACGCACTTTCACATGTAGTGTCCGCACACCCAATATTTCGTGACCTCTTACGAGCAGGAGATTCCGGAGCATTATCGACATGTTCGTGACCACTTCGAACATCTTGTGAACACATTGGCAGGTGAGCATTGTATTAGACGCCACACAGTCTATGCTTTCGAAGGTTGTGCTGCAAGCCTGCCGTGGCATAGCATGCACACCACAAGCCATGCACGAGACGTGTCTGCGACAACAAAACAGCGGACCACTGCCAAATGAAATGGAACAGACAACCATCCCTACACAACAGCGAGAAACACAGCCCTATAAATGACCCTGAGAAACACAGCCCTACACTGGACGGAGGGGAACAGGAAACATCCGAGAGAGGATAACACACGAGCGTGGAATCTGGGCAGCGATCCAGTCCTCAGGCCCAATCCGTGCCAAAGGCGCAATACACGAGAAAGAGTCTGTCCAAGTCGGAGATCGAACGACAGTGGGAAGCCTAGCACATGTCGAGTCGGGGCACCAGCAACCAGAAAAAAAGCGTGCAACAACATTGAAAAGGCGGAGATCTTGACGAGCAACAGGAAACGCAGCATATGTCACGTCGGGCACCAGCTTCGGAAAGGCAGAGACCACGGCGTGCAAAACCCAGCGGGCACCAACAGCGGAACGGCGAAGACTCTGACGCGCAGCACAGCTTGGCACGAGGGCATTGATAGGAAAGATTCTATATTACTCCAGGAACTGCAGCGACTGAACACGCGTGGTAATCACCACCCACGCAGAGCGGGCAGGAAAACTACCACGAGTGAGCAGGAATACGATCGTGGCAACGCGACCGTACCATCGTGGCAAAGTGACTGCCTCGCCCAACACAGAAGGGTCCCCCATCGTGGCAACGTGACCGCCTCGCCCAACACGGAAGGGTCCCCCGTCTTGATTCCCGGGTACCAGACTCCGAGTATTCGAAGCAAAATTCGCGCAGAGTTTGTTCCACGGCGCACGACGGGTTTCCAGATAGCCAGGCTGAGAAGTCAAACGACTACGGCAACGCCAATGTCGCGCCCAACACGACAGGAGCTCCATTGTATATTACAAGGTTGGGGTCATGGCACAATCTTGCAACAAGCAGTCAGTGCTACAAGAGACAAAAGATAGTCACCCGGGCACTATGTTCTGCTGGCGCAACTCGCACTAAACTCTGTGCAAGTCGAAACGTAGGTGGGGGTCGTGGCGAAGAAGAGCAGGGTGTTCGACACGACCGTGATGGCGTTCGACATGACCAAGACCGCGTTTGACCGTGGCAGACACGACGACCACCGTGCTCGACACGACAGCCACCATGTCCGACCCGACGACCATCGTGCAGGACACGACGACCATCGTCGACGATCGTGTCGGACACGAAGACGGCCGTGCTCGATACGATGGCGGTCGTGTTCGACAATACGACGGCCATGTTCGATACGACGTCGGTCACGACGACGACCGTGCACGACAACGAGCCGGACACGACGACGAGCGTGTTCGACACGACGACGGCCGTGTTCGACACGATGAAGATCGTGTTTGTCGTTCGACCCAATGACGATCGTGTTCGATACGACAACCAGAGTGTTCGACACGACAAGGATCGTGTTCGACACGACGACCATCATGTTCGACACGACGATGACCGTGTCGGACACGACGACCAGCGTGTTGGACACGAAAACGATCGTGTTCAACACGACGACCATCGTGTTTGACACGACGACCAGAGCGTCGGACACGACAACGATCGTGTTCAACACGACGACCATCGTGTTTGACACAACGACCAGCGTGTCGGATACGACAACGATCGTGTTCAACATGACGACCATCATGTTCGACACGACGACGACCGTATCGACCATCGTGTTCGACACGACGACGACTGCGGTGAAAGTTTTGGAGAAAACTTGTTGACGTCACCGATAAACCAGCACTGGATATGGCCGTCCACGGAGGCTTTTCTCTTTCTCTCGCGGGGGGGGGGGGGG